ACCCTCTCTCAAAAAACATAACAAGGCTGGCCAGATAGCTTAGCTGACTAAAGGACCTGCTTAGGCAGAGCACAGCGGCCAGGGTTTAATCCCTGGTGTACTGTGTCAGCCCTGCCCCCACCCAGGGCACGTATAGAAGGTGATTGAAACTGGGTGCTGTGGCATGCACCTGTAATCCCAGTAATTGGGATGCTGAAAACAGAATCACTATAAGTCAGATCTATGAATTGAGATCCTGTAGACCCTGTACTAAATACACTAATAAATAAATAAATAATTAAGAATAAATAACAAAAAGCTGCAAATGACATTTGTTTGTTCTCCCTAAAAGTGGTTCTAGGTGTAGGACGTAAGTGACTTACCTGAAGCCTTAGGTTATAATCCAGATGGAGATTTTAGTGGTCATGCCTGTGTTTCTTTATCTTTAATAGGCTTCAATAATTATTTATTGATAACACTAACAAGGGTAGCGTAGTGACAAGCTGGTTTTTTTTTTTTTTTTTTTTTTTAAGTAATCAATGGCATAAGTCAAAACTTAACTCGTCTTTTATCTTTGTTTTCTTTTTTTCTTTGGTATCGGGACTTCAACTCAGGCCCTTAGGCTTGCCAGGGAAGCGCTTATTCTACTGAGCTATCTCCCCAGCCCGTCTTTTATCTTTTTAGTAGAAGAGCACATACTTCAGCTAACGCCCCAAGCCCAAAGTTGAGACCCAAATTAAACAGGAGTCCCATTTTCCTCTTAAAAGAGAGGAAAGCTCTGCCTTCACATGCCTGGTAGATTCAAAGCACCCTGCCATGTAATTCAGGCAACTGTAAATCCAGCTGGCCCCCTTGCTGGTAATTCCTCAATATTTGGGTATGTACTAATATTGCCAAATAGGCTGGAAGGATTTAGAGAACAGGAAATAAGCTTTTGGGAAATAAGACAGCAGCTGTAAACTGTAGACTGGGAGGAAATGAAAATGAACACTAGTTAAGGGAAACAACATTAGCAATTTCACTTCATTTTTAACCAAGAATTGTTGAAAAGACATCAGTCTCTAGTTTAGGGGCGTTACCCCTACTCAGTTAATCGAGGTAGAACTCTGAATGAAGAAATATGTGAGTGGGAACCACATTTCCTGTTACTACTGCATCTCAACTGGTTAAGAATTGAGAAAGGATGAAATTGAGTCTGAACATTTCGTTTACCCAACAACAGCAACTGTGTTGTCATAAGACCAAGAAATTGTTAATTTAACGTTAGAAAAAAATTTAAAATATTTTTTACCTCTGCTCTTTTGTATTTGTGTCATGCTGTGACTATACAGGCTGTTTTCATGAAGAGGAGTGTGTGTGTGTGTGTGTGTGTGTGTGTGTGTGTGTGTGTGTAAGGTCTCACTACGAAGATTGGACTCATGGTGATCCTTCTGTCTTCTGCCTCCCCAGCACTGGTATGACAGGCATGTGTCACCACGCCTGGACTGTGTTGCTTGCGGACTCAGCATGCCCCTGGGGCAGGACCAGGGTGGCATACAGGACCAGAGGTCGAATCCTGGTCCCTGTGCTTGCCAAAGCAGGCACTTTGTCCACTGAGCTATCTCATCAGCCCATGAAGAGGAGCTTTGTTGATGTTAAATGAACAACTCTACGTGCTAAAGCTATTAAAGGCAAAACATAGAAAAATGTAAACTCGTCTTTGTCCTCTTGAGACAGGATACCTTGTCATCAATGCTATTTTACAGAGAGATTCATAGTAATTACATGCTCACTACATTAACTTAAGGAACTTGTAATTTTAGAGCAGGTCAGTCATAAATATCATGTTCTTATTTTTGTATTTCATTTTGTACTAGCCATTGTGAATGACATTAATGAGTGTGGGCTTCATTGATTAATGTTTGTCTGTAGAGAGCAAATTGTAGCTAGATACACATTTGTGGATGATAGTGTCTGGACCAAATCACTGTTGGATCGGAAAGAAATTTATTAAATTGACTATTATTGAGTGTTTGGAAAGTCTAAACTACAAGACACAACATCATTGTCATTTAGAGATTTCCATTATTGTTGGGTCAATTTTTTAAAAACAAAATTAAGTCAGTAATTGTAAATAGATTGTTTTTAAACTAGGCTTAAATAAATGAATCTTAATTTGTTGTTCTGTTATCCTATTGAAGGCCTGTACTGTGTAGGTTTACAACTCTATATAATTGTACACAGAATACTTTATATTAATCCTGTCTGATAAGCAGAACTCCTTGGAGTCAGAGATGTTCTAATTTCTATCCTTAGTGTCTGACAGTGTCTGATTCATTTTGGGCAGGCAGGTATGTAGAATTTACTGTCACTAAAATGCATTTGGGAGTTTAAAATCTACTTGAAAAAGCTTTTAATACCTTTTATAGTTTTAAAGATACAAATTAACAAGGATTGTAACTTCTAATTGTTTATTAATCATTTGATGAGGTATACCCAAAACTGCTGTGCCTGTACTTGAGGAGGAGCACACCTAGCCCTTTCCTCATCAGCACTGCATTTATAGGTTGGTAACTGCAGTGGGCTGTGCCAGCTCTGCCCCTGCAGAATTGAGCCAGTGCAAGGAAGAGCTTTTCACATGGATATGTGAATAGGTAAGGCTACCTGGGAAGTTTTTTGTGTTCTCATCCTTGCAAATAAGTGTGATAATCCATCAGCCTCAGAATTTCCTCTGATTTTGCAAAGTTTTTAAAGATATGGTACCCTTTTCTTTGAAAATCTGAGAGTTTTATTATACATCAGTGATATCACTAAGTGTGTTACACCGATGCTGGCTCAAGGCAAACTAAATCAGACCATTCATAGGAGTCTCTCCTAGCTTGCTAGCACCCTGGACACATATTTAAAGACCTAAAATCATATATGTCAGTTACAGAATTTTAAGAAGTTGTTCTGAAAGCAGGAAGTGTGCTTTGGTCAGATGGGCATAAGGAGGGTTCTGGGTATAACTATGGAAGTCCTTGACCATCAGTCCTAAAGCTTAGCTCCTATTTCAGAATCTTAAGTTAGAATTTCAAAACTGTTTAAATTGCCATTGCATTTTCACAGTGCTTATGATGAGTTTATTAGGCACAGAGTGCTGAGAGTACACAGGGTTCTCTTCTTAATGAATAGCAAGACTATAACTTCTAATCGATGGTAATCCCTTTTGACTTACATGTCAATGGTACGCATGTGTTTGTGGGTATTCTTGCTTCCTAGTTTGACTTTTAACTTACTGAGGGTCCAACTCAGTATTAGCTATATAGTATCAGTGATATAAGTGTGTGCTGAATGTCTGACTAAATCAGTTCGTGTATTGCCATCTGGATAGGCTGGCTTCGGGAACGCTCATCATGGTCAACTTTGAAGTACTGTGTTGGTTTTGAGGCTCATAGTCTTGTGGCACCAATCCGAACCTTCATTCCCTTACAGATTTTTATTGGGCTTTGTGAAGGATGACCTCAAACTTCTCAGCATTTGCTTATTCACACAAACTGTGCCAGACTTTCTACCTTTTTAGATAAGTGAAAGATGAAATTGATTTGCCTATATTCAAAATTTTCTAAATTTAATAAGTTCTGTTACTCACAAAATTTGAACCTTAATACTTCTTCAGATCTCCTGTGGTAAATCTTAAAGCATGTTAAATTTTCTCTCTTTTTTAAAGAATGTATTTAGTACAAGGTCTACAGGGTCTCACTACATGGATTGGAGTCATAGTGATTCTAAAGTTTTCAGCCTCCCAAGCACTGGGATTATAGGTGCATGCCACCCTGCCTAGTCTCAATCACCATCTCAGCATGCCCCGGGATGGGCACGGCATGGCACGCCAGGGATCAAACCCTGACCACTGCGTTCTGCCTAAGCGGGCGCTTTAGTCCACTGAGCTGTCTGGCTGCCCCAAAACATCTTAAACTTTCCATGCTTTTTTCCATATTGGTTCTGTTTAGATGCTGAATTATTTAGCATGAAGGAAGTCTGGGAAAGATAGAAATGTTTATTTTTGGCAGAAGTTGGAATAAGAATTGTCTTGGTTACTTTTCATTTGTTGCTAGGACAAAATACCAACACCCAAAATGAAGGAAGGAAAGATTTAGCATACAGTTAGTGGAGGTTTCAGTCCATACTCCACTGGCTCCAGTGCAAACAGCAGCAGTTCATGGCGGCAGAAAACTATGAAGAGCAGAGGAGGAGCAGCCGCTACAGCATCCATCAAGACTCTCTCTCGGGCCAGGGAGATGGCTCAGTGGAATAAGCACTTCACTGGCAAGCACAAGGGCCTGAGTTCAATCCTGGTTCCTCAAAAAAAAAAAAAAAAAAAAAAAAAAAAAAGACTCTCTCTTCTATACTTACTCGAAGACTGGTCCTCCACTGTGAAGATTGGATGTCCTCTGAAGTGATGTGGCTATAGAGATCAAGCTCCTCCAAAGTGGCATGGCAGTGCACTGGTGTGGCGAAGACCAGAATTATTCCCAGGAAGTGGGATGCAGAAGCTTTCCTTAACTCCATTATGTACCCTTTTTGTGCTGAGTCACTCTGGATCAGCCCCCCCCCCATTCCCCAGGGAGTGAAATTGACAAGAGGGATCCAGCAAAGCTTCTGACATCTCAAGTTGACACAATGTATCAACCACCACAAGAACTTTTTTTGGGGTACTAAATAAATGATGCTGTCATTTAAAAACATAATAAATTCTGTGGAAATCATTTCTGTACAATACAGGTTTGGCAGATGAGAGATTGTTGCATATTTTTAAAAGCAGGTACTTTACTGGGTTCAAGTGGTCCTCTAACTTGATAGCAATGGCCATAGTACCCTGGCAGCCTTGTCTTTGTTCAGGTGTCTGCTATTTGCCAGGAAGCCATGTCAGGTGTGTCTCAGTCCATTCCTTGACTAATCTCAACATTTTCCCTGAAAGCTTTTCTGTGACTAACTGCATTCTGTTTCACTCTGGAGTCTGAACATTTTGAGGAAATAATACTGACCCTGTGGTTTCCCAGGTTGTTCTGGTGAGATGGAATGAGCCATACCAGAAACTGGCCACATGTGATGCAGATGGAGGAATATTTGTGTGGATTCAGTATGAAGGCAGGTGGTCTGTGGAACTGGTCAACGATCGAGGGGCTCAGGTGAGTAGGCAGCAGACCTGTTGCAATGAAAGTACACTAGGCAGAGTGTTCTAGAGCATAGGAATTAGCATTGCACAGCTCTGGATCTTTTGTGAATAAAGTAGAAGAAAAATAAGTAAAATTAGAACCTTGCTTTTCATTCAGCTTGAGTCACTTGATAGAAAGTAAGAGTGTGAGATCATACCTCCACTTCCACAAGGCTGCTACTGTGAGAACTGTCCAAGCTATAAGGATCTGTGAATCATTTTTTACCCAGTGTTGTGCTTAAATGTCAAATTTAGATCCTTTGAAGTGCTTCTACCTTATCACTTTTTTGCGCCCTTTTAGAATGTGTTTTCTCCGAGCTGTGATCTTTATACTTCTCTCACTGAGAGCACCACCTGACTATTACAACCTACTCAACAAGTGAAGATATTCACTTGTTCTAATATTCATTTCTATTGATTTTAATTAATAGGGGCACCTATTGTCATTTTCTACTCTTCCTTTCTGATACAGTTTGTCTCTGCTTTGTGGAAAATAATTGCTCCAAGGATACCCTGCTGAGCCATGCTATTTGTAAGACTGCTCCATGGATTGTTCTGGCTTGTAATACAGCTTCTCCTTCAGTGTATGGGCTGCCTAGCATGCATGTTCTTAATGACAGATGCTGGGGCAAACAGTTCTTCTTGTCACTCTTAGCTCTCCCAGAATGATTGATTCCCCTGCGTCTTTTCAAAAGACAGGATTCTTATCCTCCTCTCCCCTGTCTGCTGCTTAACTAAGTTTCCCAAGTCTGAAAGCTACAAACCAGTAAAGTGACATAAAATTGCTAGAAATAAAGGTACTGCTTGACAGGGAGTAAACTGGGCTGAAAGTTTCTGTAAAGTGTCATCACAGAAGCAAAACTTATCTCTCTGTGAAGACAGAACAGTCTTTTTTGTGTGTTTATTTAGTAGGTAAACAACAATATTGACTGGTTCTGATAAAGCACACCTCCTTGGGGTGAGAAAAATAGGGGGTAACACCTTCTTGAAGGAGAGCTACATGTATGGAAATCTCTATGACCATGAAAAGTTTAGGTCACTTTGAGAATGGATGAGCAGGAGCTTTGACATTAGACAGCATAGTGCAAAAATACCTCATGACTTCTAAGTTGGAGGTATTTCATTTTTCCATGCCTGAGTTTCCTCACGAGAGTGTATATGAAAAGCGCTTATATCCCTGTCTGCACATAGCACCTCTAGTAATGCATTACTATAGTATCTACAATACTTTGTAATACTGCTACCTCATAGCCCCCCAATGCGGGCCCACCTGCCTTGAAGCAGTATCATATAGTCTCGAAAACAAATTTTGGGCCTGAAGACAGCAAATTTTCATGCTTTTCTGAGAAGTGGACAATTCTCTTGAGGTTTCCTGTAGTGTTTCTAACATAACTCTCCCTTTAACCAGATTATAAGATTCTCTTCCCTAGAAAAGCCAGTGGTGGGGTGAGACTTATCTTGAGGTTTAGGATGTGGCAAGAACCGTAGAAGGAAAGGAGAGCTAGGACACATGCCAACTATGTGCTTGGCTTTTTTCATTTATTTCTTTCAGTCTCCATAGGATCCCTATTCTAAAGATGTTATACTACTAGAAGAGAAAGGATTCAGGGAGATCCAGTAATTTGCCCAAGAAAGTGCTTGGGTAGCAAAGCCATAATTTAAACCTTGGCTTGAGTCCAGAGTGCTCCAACATACCGTCTTATTCTCAGGCCAAAAAACAAAACTCCACTATTTTCTCTTTGGCAGAAAATGCCACCTATTCATAGTATATACAGAAATGCTGACACTTTATACTGTTTAAGAAGCCTGTTCCACCAGCCAAGCAGTGCCACTGCCACACAGTTTTCTCCTGGCAGCAGCCTCTTTGAGCAGGTGGTCCCTGTCATCTCCATAGTGCAACTGTGTGGTTGCCACCACTCGTCATATTCTTCCATGTTTCTTTCCACTGAGAGTTTGAAGGAGACAAACATGACAGAAACCAGAAAGGTAGGATGAATGCAGTCCTGGAGACAGATGAGTTTGTGTGGGCCATAGAACATCTGGTAGTATCCTGAGCCTCATAAATGCTTATTATCTCTGCCAGATTCCACTAAGAAATCTCTGTCTTGTGTCCTGAATCCAGTTTTAGCTAATTTTATTGTTTAGATTTTGATTCTTAAAATTTGACCCACTGAACAGCTGTGATGACTATATGGGCTGGGGGTGGGACAATTTGTTTGCTTTTCATTATGTTAAAATCAAATATTATCTGAGTAAAAGAAACCACACGCAGGAGATGTTGGAACACTGATCAAGGCAGTGGAGGCTGTGCTTATTCGGAAAATTACGTGGAGGAAAGAACAGTTCTGTGCCTTATAAGCAAGTTCAGAGAAATCTTTTTAAAGAAATAATAGATGATCCTTGCCTTTCATTGTCACAAAATAAATCAAATATTTGAGAAATGCTAAGTAATGCCATAACTTTTTTTCAGGAAATGATTAGGAACCCTTCATTTGAAAAATGAGTCTGGAACAGTACATACATTGTTTTATAGTGTTAGTCACTGATGATGGCTCTGCCAGGCATACACATTCTGAGACAATCTAATGAAAAGCTGCGTTGGGCAACAGTGTGATTAAGCTGCTATTCAGCTCAAACACTCCACATGTGAGAGCTCTCTTTAATAAAGCAAGAGCATTATAACCTTCTGCAGTTGAAAACAACCAAAAGGAGGAGCATTTTGACTATCTCTTGCCCCCAACATTTAGTGCTTGTCTACCTCTGTTTTGTTTTTCCAGTTGTGATATATTACTATCACTTTATTCTGATAAGTCCAATTACATCATGCAAACATTCTGCATGCCCTAGTTTCTATGAGATTACTAGTGCTTTATTTTTGTTTTTTTAAAAATCCCTAACGTAGAACAAATAAAAGTAAGAATAGACATGTAGGATTATATCAATCTAAAAAACTTTTGTATAAGCAAAAGAATAAGAGACAACTGCAGAATGGGAGAAAATGTTTGCAAACCATACATCTGACAGTTAATGTCCAGAATTGTAAAGTACTCAGTTCATCAGTGGAAAAAAATAAAATCCAAACACATCAATTAAAATTGGCAGGAGATAAAGTAAAATAAAATAAAACAGCAATGTACTTTCAACATAAAAGTTGAAAGTAGCTGGGCATGATGGCGCACACCTATAATCCTGGCACTTGTAAGGCTGATGTAGGAGGATCACCATGAGTTAGGGGCCACCCTAGGCTACACTGGGTTCAAGGCCAGCATGAACTACATGGTAAGACACTGTCTTTAAAAGAAAAAAAAAAAAAGTTGAAAGTAGAGCAGTACTTACCAGAGCAAACTTTTTTTAATAGCAGAGCAGCTATTCCAGAGGTATATCACAAATCCATGACATTTTTTTTAAATTTCTTTTTTAAAAAATATATTTAGTGCAGGGTCTACAGGTTCTCACTACATAGATTAGACTTGTAGTGATTCTTGTTTTCAGCCTCCCAAGTGCTGGGATTATAGGGGTGTACCACAACACCCAGTCTAAATTGCTGTCTCCGCACGCCCTGGGGGACTGGGCCATTGTGGCATGCTGGGGATCAAACCCTGGTCCCTGAGTCTGACTTAAGCAAACACTTTAATCCACTGAGCTATCTGGCCAGCCCCATGACATTATTATGATGGAGACATTGCTTATTACTTAGCACGGATCCTTAGCCCCTATTGAGAAAACAGCCAAAACGTGTATGACTCTGCTGTTTGTTCATTTATTTTTTTGGGTCTTGAAATGTGGTATGTCTTGCAATACCAGATTTGAAGGCAAGTTGAGTTTTTCCAGTTACAAGCAACAGTGAATAGTAATGTTTTGTTTTAATAGTAATGTTTTGTTAGAAAGGATTTAAAAGAAACAAAAAGTAATATTAACTAAAAAGTTAAGATTGTAGAAATAGAACCCCTCCAAAGAAAACACTAATTAAAATAAATGTAAATGGACTAAATTCACCAATAAAAGTATTAAGTTTAACGTTATGTAGTTGAAAATCTGGACATAGGCTATTAAGAGCTACATTTAAAATTTAAGGCTGAAAAAATAAATAAAATAAAATTTAAGGATAGCCAGGTGTGGTGGCACATGCCTATAATCCCAGCACTCAGAAGGTTGAAGTGGGAGGATTACCATGAGTTTGAGGCTAACTTGGGCTACATAGTGAGTTCAAGGTCAGCCTGAACTCAGAAAGCAAAAACTCTTATCTCAAAAAACAAACTTAAGGACATACACAAATTTAAAATAAAAGTATGAAAAAGATACATCTGGTAAATGTCAAAGGAAAAATAAAGTTGTTACAGCCATATTAGTATTACATAACATAAAGATAAATTATACACTTACGAGATAGTATTAAATGGGGCATTTTACATTTTAATACATGTGCTTTTATTAAAAATACCTTCAGAATATTTTTTTCAGAATATTTTAAAGAAACAGATAAAACTGAAAGGAAAAGTTGATAAATCTATTAAAATACTAAAGTTTCAACAGTAAGCAGCAAAGATGTAAAAGATTTGAGTATCACGGTTAACAAAATTCACCTAAAAAATGTGTACAGATTTTTTATATCTACTTATTAGAAAGTATGCATTTTTCCACCTGGGTAAGAGAGTCTGCAAACCTTTTTTGGGAAGGGGAAGCTAATGACTATTGTATATTTTGTGGATCAGGAGCCAAAATCAAGTATGTTAGTATATTAAGAGAAATCAAATTTTTAAAAAACTGATAGAATTAAATTTATAGACATTAAAATTGCATTACATGTAATTTCTTAAATAACAAGATACCATCCTGCTATTGATTTTTTTTCCCTAAACCCCTTAAGACCATTCTTAGTTTGTAGGGTATATAAAAATAGGTCACAGGCCAGGTTTGGCCTTTCCCCAATCTAGACATAAATAAAACCTCAGCAAATTTATAACAAGTATTATGATTGTAGACTCTGATCTCTGCATAGTGTGACTGGATTAGAAGTTTACAGCAAAAGAAAAATTTAAGAAACCAATGCATGTTTGGAAACTTATAAATGATTAACAGTAAATTTAACATTTATAAAACACTAGCTATGAATGATCATAAAAACATACCAAAATTTGTAAGTGGTAATATGAGGGAAACATGTAGCCTTTAAAAACTTTTTTGCAGCAGAAGCGATTAAACTCAGGGTTTTGCATATGCCAGGCAAGTACTCTACCACTGAGCTACATCCCAGCCCATCCTTAATTATTCACATAGTAGTCCACATTATCCACAAATATACAAAGATAGTATAATATTGGGAAATCCATAGAAATAATTTAACAAAATAGAGTAAAAGTATGGAAATGCTCATTGGAATATATGCAATAAATGCACGTATTCTTTTCTTTCATTTTAATCTAGAGAATATTGTTAGCCAGACTGCAAAGGAATATAATCAGAAATTAGAGCTTTACCGGATTGGTAAGTGACTAACAGATATTAATGGAGGACCTGTCAATAATTGCAAAAATTAAGACTGTATAACAGTGGTTTAAAAAAATGATCCTCAGGCCAGACATCCTGTGATCATTCTTGGTTTTGCCACTCCACCCTACTGTGTGACTAAGAATAAGTCTTTTAGACCCTTTGCTGTGCCTTAGTTTTCTCTGTACATTGGGTGATAATACTTACACAGATGTTGTGCGCCTTTGAGTTCATAAAGCATGTGCAGTAGTGCCAACACTATATTTCATTTCAGTCATTTTTATTGTTTTTCAAATGCCTTTTATATGGTTTTCTTTATGTCATCTTGATCTCAGCCAAAAGGCTAACTTAATGACTATAGGCTTTGACAAGGTGTTTTTTCCTTCTAGATTATAAACTGACTTCTCTTATTCCCGTGTGTCTTGAAGGTGAGTGATTTCACGTGGAGCCATGATGGTACTCAAGCACTTATTTCATATCGCAATGGGTTTGTCCTGGTTGGTTCCGTCAGTGGACAAAGACACTGGTCATCTGAAATCAACTTGGAAAGTCAAATCACATGTGGCATATGGACTCCTGATGACCAACAGGTAATACCTTTGTATGTGAGTAATACTGAAGACCATGGGGGCTTAGAAGAAAAAAGGTAGCAAGAGAGAAAAAGGTGGTGCAAAAATATCTTAAAGAATCCCAAAAGAAACTGGGAGTGATGGTTCACACCTATAATCTCAGCACTTTGGGAAGCTGAGACAGGAGGATCACAAGTTCAAGCCCAGCCTGCATAATTTAGCCACTTAGTGAGACCCTTTCTCAAAAAAAAGGGCTGAAAATGTAGCTCAGTGCAAAAACCCTGAGTTTGATGGCCAGTACCAAACCAAACCAAACCAAACCAAAAATTAAAGGAAAGAAACCAAAACTATCCATATAAAACTTAAACATTAACATTTAAATTTTACAAGGTATTCATATAAATTTGTTTTAAAATCACATGAATAGTCAAATTGATAAACGGATAATGAATATAACTAAGTAATTCATAAAAGAAGAAATTCAGGGGCTGGTGAGATAGCTCAGTGGTCTAAAGTGCCTGTGTAGGCAAGCTTAGGCAGGTACAGGGGACCGAAATTCGATCCCCAGCACCACATACTGCCCCAGTCCCCACCTCAGGGTGGGCTGAGCTGGCCAAAAAAAAAAAGAAGAAGAAATTCAACTAGTTAGTAAATGTATAGTGAAAAAGTTTTCATTCTTTGGGGAAAATATAAAATTAGCACAATGAGGGTATACTTTTCACTAATTAACAAAAAGTAAAATGATGCAGATTGTTTTCTGATTATTGAAAAGAGCCTTCTCACTCATTGCTGGTAATGTGTATTAAGACCTTGCTAAGTAATTTGGCAAAATATGTCAAAAGTCTTACAAAGTATTCACTTTCGTAACATACTTTGGTAATTTATCTAACAGAAACAAGTAGGGCTGGGGAGATGGCTCAATGGAATAAGCACTTTCCTGGCAAGCACAAGGGCCTGAGTTCAATCCCTGGTTCTGCCAAAAACAAAAAACAAAAAAACCAGTACTAAAAGAAACAAGTAGAGTCAAGCTATAATCATTAAAGTATTGCATATGATGATAAAATTTTTCAGTGGCCTTCTTGACTAAAAAGAGAATGATTATGTAAAGTAACATAACTACTGAAGAGGATACAGTAAGACAAATTATATAGGTTTTGATTATGAAGATGATGTAATCAGAAAGAGCTTTTAGGGTATTAAAAAATCAGACTACAAAATAGTAAATGTGGTATGTTGTTGCATTATAAAACAACATTTGCACACACACATATGCACGTACACATGCAGAAAGACTTAGTCACATGGTAAAAAAATAATTGGAAAAAGATGAATCAAAATGCTGCAAATAGGGGCCGGGGAGATGGCTCAGTAGAATAAGTGCTTGCCTGGCAAGTGCAAGGGTCTGAGTTCAATCTCCGGTTCCACAGGGGGAAAAAAAAAAAAGCTGCAAGTAGCTGGGTGTGGTGGCTCCTGACTATAATCCCACCACTTGCGAGGCAGAGGCAGGAGGATTGCTGTGAGTTTGAGGTCAGCCTGGGCTACATAGCAAGACCTTATCTCAAAAAAACCCTACAAATAGTTATTTTATGGTAATGAATCTCCATTTTAGTTCATTTTCTAAAATGTAATTTCAAAGTTTTATCATAAAATTATATTGATAATTTTCAAAATATAAGAATTGCCTAGTTAAAAATCTTTGTAAACATAAAATTTATTTTCCAACTATGACAGATTCCATAAAATGCCAAAAAATTTTATGGAGAGACATAATTTTTTTTTTT